AGGAACTTGGGCATGTGAGAAGAAAGAAGAAAATAAAATGAAAGTAAGACAAGAATAGATAGCATAGAAGCTGCAAGCCATCTCCCCTTCCTCCTCCTCAGCTAATAGCAGTTCACAAAGTCACATTTGCCTTTCAAAGCAGAGGTCGACAATAAGGCCTGATTAAAACTAAAAGGAGTCATTGAAACTCAGAACCTGAGTGTCAGAAAGAGAAATGATAAAAATAGAGAGCGGCCCATTCACTATAAAGCAAGGAAGAGACAGGTAGAATGGACTTCGACGTGCAACTTTCTTGAGAAGTACTCGGATGTTTCACTTTGGGGGATTCTGTTTATCTGCTTATCATGAGTTCAACTGGAAGACATTAGAACTATGCTTTGTTTTCTTGCCTTTTAGCTGAGAGGTAGATGTGGCACCTGGCAAAATGCCTGGTAACCTTAATGCCTTTGCTTTCTTCCACCAGGGATAACTAACTAAGTAGAGTAAGCATGTTGTGCCAACTAAGAATCTAATTGGCACTGATACTTCTTTGCTAGGATGTAGAGGATCTGACTTTTTAAAAGGCAGAGTTGAAATAGATGGATGCAGAGAACATGATTGAAAACTGAATATCACAGTGTTGTTTCCCTGAACACAGAAAAAATACAGGATATGACTCTGTACACAGTCAATTAGCACAGTACCAGAGTGAGAACCCAGTCCAACAAGCTGTGTTTGCATCTTGGAGCTGTAACTTACTAGCTTTGTGATTTTGGGTCATCACTAGATCTCTGTGACTGTGGGTTTCCATTCCTGTAAAATCATGAAAATTGCACATATGTACTCATTCAACAAAGATTTATTAAGTTCCTGGTATGTGCTAGACACTATTTACAATTGTAAGGATTTGCAGCAAAACAGATAATATAATGCACGTAAACTGCTTAAGAAAGTAACCAGGGATTTAGCCTAAAGTGTGAAAGTACCTAAGGAAAGACGACCTGCTTCCCATGATCAAAAAACCTCTCTCTCCCTCGTCCTCCTCTCTGATACACACACACACACACACACACACACACACAGAGAGAGAGAGGGGGAACATGTGTGCACACATTATGTACATATTATCAGACCAGAAGACAACTCAGCAGAACCTGGGATATGAAGACAGTACACTTTCTCTACTGACCCCTAATGAAAAGGGTTGGAACGCCTGCTCAATGACCCAAAGGAAACAGAGTAGGAATAAATGATAAGGATGATGGTAATAGCCACAAGAGGGATACTGACATGGTTTAAGATATATGAGTCTTTGAGAGAACACAGCATGGACATCCAAAATAATGTATCAATAAGCAAACATAATTTTTATGCATAAAACCAGTAAGTACTTTAAAGGAACTCTGTGACGTGCTGTTTGGCAGTCTCTTTCTTACTGAACAAAACAGTTTGAAAAAAGAAATGAAATGTTAAGATATCTGATCTTAATCTTAAGAAAGGTCTAGGGGTAGTTATATAGCGAGATACTTAGGAGCAACGTTTCACATAGTGATGCATCAAGACGGTGTCAAGGGTGGATGCTGAACCATGTTCTATCAGGTCAGTTCCAGACATCTCTGCCCTTACAGTTCCTTTCGCTTTCTCCCTCTTCTCTTCACCTCTGCTGCACTCTGCTCTAAGTTCTCTTATGCTTGTACACCTTCTCCTACTTTACTCATTGCTGTGGACCTGGTGACAATTGCCTTAGCAGCCAGCTTGCTCTACATTGTCTACAGTCAGATCTGCAGTTAGTTCCCTTCTTGCCAGATGGCAGGTTGGGCACTTCTGAAGATGCTCCAGTCCTCTGCCATCCTGGACCCTGGGAGTAGGCTGCTCTGGATTGGAATTTGGCAATCCTTCTCTAATACTGTGCCCACTTTCCTGGGGTAGTGATATCTGTTTGTGGGGGGAGGGGAAATGTTTGGACAAAGAATATAAAGAATATAAAAAGTCACTTTTAGAGAAATTTGTCAGTTTTGTTTTTAAAGATATCATGGTATGCCCCCCACACCAATAGGTTGCCTGTGGGAGCTCATTACAGGAAGATTTTTCAAGTATATTTTAATGGTTAACCTCTTCCACAGCTGCCTCTGAAGTCAGTTGAGAGCTTCAAACATGTTTTCTGGGTTCTTATGCACTTGAACTATGATAGGGATATTGCAATCCACTTATTTTCTTCCTCCAGTTCCCCTCCAGGCACCCTCAGGCACACTTACATAAGCACACACCATTTCTCCTTTTACTGGATGGCAAAACATCTGTCAGACAGGCTCCTCTGACTTTCAGGTCTTAAGACTCAACTCTCCCCTCTGCCTAATCTACTGTATTCACTTCCAAGAAGTAGACAAACTTGGGCAGAGGTTCTCAGCCTTTAGGCAGTCTATTTTGTAATTTTAAAACTTACTTGTCAGTATTATTTCATCCCAGAAAGTCCATAGAATGGATGAGAAGCACTTGAAACTTAAACACATTATTAATAACGGTGTGACAATCAGAGTGCTTCTGGCTTTAAAGTGACTCCCTAGCCCTTTTCCTAAGGCAAAGCTGTGACATTGCTGGCACAAAATTCTTCCATCCATTTGACCACAGTCTCAAAAGTGCCCTTTCTCTGTTGGAACCCAATACAGTCCTCAGCATGAAACTTTGTTTCGACTGGTTTTATCTCTACAGTCATCAGTGTCTTTGCAATAATGCTCTTCAAAAAGACCCAGGGGCTGTGAGGGGTTTCTGTGTTAAGTGGATCAACATCTCTGTTACGGCTTAGCAATAATAAAAAAACAAGAATCTCCACCCACATGCTTATCAAGACAGTTTATGCTTATGCACCTAATTGCAGAAAACACCATGACAGCCTTTGCCCCACAACCCAGAGTTGGTTAACCTGGAGTTTATAAGCTCAGCTGATTCTTTCAGGGGAGACCTCTGAATCCAGGAATGTGCCAGTTGCAAGGAAGAGAAGCAAGGTGCAGACCCACTCTGGCACTCTGCCATCAGACTATTCTGCGCAGTTTGGAAAAAAACAACCCTGCAACTAGTTGGGCTGGGGGCAAGGCACCAGTGTCGGAACAGAAAAAAAATCATCTCCCACTGTCCCTCAGAGGTGCTCACTCTCTGAGCTGCTCCAGCATAGCCTCTCTACTACACTCTTAGAGCAAACTGACAAGGTCTGTCTGATTGCCGGAGGGTTTCCCCAGGGAGTGGAAACAACTCCCCTCGTCACTCAGTTGGATCAAGGCAGAAACCTTTGCAAAGATGACCAAGGCTGCAGACGCTGGGGGAATGCTCAAGGCTTGCTGGGCACTGGAGCTCCAATGCCTGTGTGGTGGAGCTTTGGGATGTGGGTTTGTGTCACTGGCTGCTCGTGGCTGGAGGGACTGACTGAACATCGTGAGATTTCCATATGTCCACTGCCACCCAGCGCAAAAGCAAGAGTAAGAAAAACAAAACTAGATGAAAAGGAAAGAAAAGGGATACAGAGGGATGTAAGGACAGCCTGGGAGATTCCGGACCTCGAACACAGGAGAGGAGCGAGGGACAAAGATTTAACCAGCTCCCTTTGCCCCCACCCCCATCCCATGGGAAGATTTGGAGCAGTGGGGATGCAGGAACAAGATGCATAGGGACCGAGAAGTGACACAAGGGCACGAGAGGGCAGCTTGGGTGATGTGTCAGCCGGCATTTCTACTTGCCTTAAGCGTTTACTTCCCTTTCTCTGCCCTTCTCCCTCCTCTTGGCAGCGAGTGAGCGCTTCTCTCCATGGGTTATATGCACATGCATGCAGGCTCCTGTGTCTGCATCGCAGAAAGGGACTGAAAGACCGGTAGACCCTCCCTTGGACTGTTTCCTGGCTCTGAGGAGTCTCCAGGGACCAGAAGGACAGGGATAGAAGGGGAAATGCATATGATGCATCTATCGGAGGACAGAGACAGAGTGTGGCTCCTCACCCCCGTAGGTGTCCACAAATTGGGTGAATTCTTACCCCTGGCAAGCTCTGCAAAGCAAGCCTTCCCTCCTGCTCAGCTTGTGCCACTCCAGGGGCATGGAAGGGTGGAGCACACAGGTGGAATTCCTGTGTTTTCTGTCTGCAGCTGGGTTTGGACTGCACCTCACATGGTTCCAGAGCCACAAGTTAGTGGTGATAGTCCAGCTCCCCAGGCGCCAACATTAAAGGTCGTTTGCAGCACCATGGTCCCAATCTAAGACCTGCAGGGTGGTCCAGTACCCACCATGAGTTGGGTGGCCAAGCTCCCGCAGAGTCTGAGACCCCACCGACTCTGGACTGTGGCTGCTTTCCTCAGACACAGTGGATAACCAACCTTGTGCACAGGTGGAGGAAACCCGGCTTGTGGAGGACTCCCCTCTCTCTCTTCCTGGGAATCTTCCCTAGAACCTTATTCTCCCTGCCCTTTGGCCAAGGTCCGTGGACCACAGCAGTAAACCGGTATCTCTCATGCGAAGGCTCTCTGCCAAGGCGGAGTCAGAAGACAGTGTGGAGTGGGGATGAGAGCAGCCTCCACCCTAAAAGCAGTGTGCTCAGACCCTCCTAGGGGGACGGAGCTAAGAGGATGTAGAGACCGGCAGGGGACACTGAGCGCTCCTTGCCTTCCCCAAGGCAGCATCTGGAGTGGGGTAGGGGGATGAAGAGGAGAAGGGTCTGATGTCAAAGACAGAGCCATACTAACACAGCGCCGCTCAAAGGCAGCTTTAGCCACATTACCCTGGACTTAGAGACCCCAAAGCTTCCCGCGTCCCAGCTGTGCCCCACCCCCACCCCCTTCAGACCCGCCAAGGTACGTGTCCCCTTCTGCAAACCCCAGATGCTAAAGTTTCCATTGGAAAACCCGAACATGCGGAGGACCACCAGCAATTCCTCCAGACCCAGCCCCTCTGCGGTCAGGGTCGGGTGATTGGGAGGGACTGCAAGGTACCAGGGCCCTTGGCGTGGGCAATCGGAGACCCAGGCGTTGTGGCATTGTCTTTACCTGTAGCTGACTTAGTGGCCCGGGGCTGAGATCTGGTGGAGTCTGGCCGGAGCGAGGAACCTTTGGCGGGCTCAAGTTGGACCCGCTCAGGCGGCGCCAGCAGCACAGCTTAGAGTCCGCAGCTGACTGCCCGCTCGCCTTCTCCCTGGATCTTGCAAGAGAAAAGCCAAAGATTAGTTGTCACCACTGCACTTAGACGGGTGGGGCTGGGGAGGCGGGGAGGCTGCGGACCCCAAGAATCCTGGATAGCTGCGGGCACCTCACATCGGTCCTGCAGCTTGGCTAGACTAGGGACCCAATGGGCTGTTCAGACTGGAGTTAATTTGCCTCTGCCCGCCACCTTGAACATTAACCCCCCTCCAAAAAAAAAAAAAAAAAAAAGACAGGCAAATAAGACTTTCAAACCTGGCTTTCAGGGAGATGACTGTGGACACCGAAATAGAAAGGAGACCTGGATATGGCGAGCAGCTGTGTGGGCTTCATTTCTTCACCCGAGTGCCGGGAAGTAGTAATTAGAGTCTGCGAGCTGCGCTCTTCCACTTCTCCCAGCGCCTCTGGCGATTTCCTAGTAGGATCTGCGACTTCAGGCTCTGGCCAAGCCCGCAGGCTGGTGTGCGCGTGTGCGCGTGTGCGTGTGTGCGAGTGGAGTGTGTGTGTCGGTGCCCCCGCGTGCCTGCTCCCTAGAACGGGTCTCTGCGCCCTCACCCGCTGTGCATAGCAGCAGGGCGAGAGGTGTCTCTATTTGTGCGTATCTGTTCGATTAGCTGCAATGGGCGGACAGTTTCTGGAAGAGAACATTTACAATTTTCTTTCGATCTGACAGGATTAGTTGCTGTTGAAGGGGCTCCGCCAATGAAATTTCCTCTGCGCTCTGATTTGGCGGTTCTTCGGAGCAAATATGACAGCTTTCTCTCCCAGCTCTTTTCTGCATCTCTCCATGTCCCTGTCCCCAGAGCCCAGCTCTCCATCTGCAATTTCTACACCACAACCTTTGCATTCACCACCACCATCCCTAGGTCCCAGGCCAGCAAGTGCCCGGTTGCTACAAAGGTGACAGGGCACATTGGGAAGAAGGCTTATTGATTGCAGAAGACACAAGCCCCTTGTTTCCAGGTGGGGAAATGTTAGAACAAATTCAATATACTTTATAGTCACAACGAACTGCTCGGATTGTGTATGTCTTTGATGTTGATTAATGTATTAGGAAGAAACAGATTTTTAGTTATCTGTCTTTGCTTTTTCTTTCACACACAGACCAATGCCTATGTTTTCCATCAATTAATGGGATGCAATAGCCTACAGAGTGCTAGTGGTGCTTTTTTAGAGTGGTGGTGGGGGGTAAATGTCTTTAAGGAAAATGAAAGATACGATCATCCTGTTTTCAGACCATGGACTAATTTTTTGTTTCTATTTATTTTGATTATTTAATTGATTTGTTTTCATTCCTTCCAAAAATTTACCCATTACTTCAAAGCATGAACACTGTCTGATACTATGATGGTGTGATTACTGTAAAGTGTAGTTGAGGACAATATTTACTTTTGATACTGTGTATTGTATATGATTACATAGATATGTTACATAAATATGGTTTTGCATGATTTCCATATAGAATTAAAAAAGAAACAGTAGATTTGTTAAAGTAAATAACAAAAAATGGGCCTCATCTCCTTTTTGATCACAGAGACAGAGAAATTGCTATTTAATATGCCCAGTGAAATTCAGCTCAATTCTTGTTGCCCTGGCCTTTGTGGGATGTTAAAGAGCACCCAGAATAGGGAAATCACAGTTCCTTTTATTGCTAAGTTTCTCATCTTTGAGAAGAAACATACGCATGAAGCTCTTTTACAGAGGTTCACCATTGATAAATGAAAATCCTATAGCTGTATCTAAGCAGGATCTGACACAAATTTAATTTTGCTTGATTAAAGCTATCCTGGTATGAAGGATGACAATATTATATCTCTGCTCTCCATGTCCATACAGGCATTCCACCAAGAGTCTTGTTTGAGAAAGAGAGATCTGCTCACTCTCACCCCCTACCTCCACCAGAACTCGGTTCCTGGCAGTAAATATCTAATTATTTTCTCTGTTGGACACTCCTGAAAATCAGTTCACAATCACCCCATCTGCCATTACCTCTAAAAAGGCTTCATAGCCCCACATTGTCATAATGTACCTGGGGTTTTTTGAATGCACATATGTGCATGTTTGCATACACAACACACAACACACACACACACACACACATGCACTGACAGTGAAAAAAAAGAATAAAACATTCTTGAACAGCAACAAAGAAGAAAACCCAGTCATTTGCTCATTTGTACTCTGGTTCTGTTTTTGTTTCCCATCAAGAATGTGTTCTTCCTAACAGGATCTGCCTATTCCAAGCAGGGAAGTAAAAACCCAGCAGAGATAGCCAGCAGAGACCAGCAAACATATGAAGCCTTTGTGAGGAGCTGCAAACAGAAGCAGCACTTTCAGTAAGCAAGCAGCAATGATGCCCATTTTCTTCTCTTAAGTCATTAGTAAAAACAATTTTATCATGTATACTTGGATCTCTGTCACTCACCGTGTGATGTGAAGAAAAATTTTAACTACTTGGAAAGTCAACTTTTTAGACTATAAAATGGATTTAATAATATCGTCTAGATTTGTTACGTAGAACAGCACAATTAATCACTGCCAAGTATCAGTGGAATTTTTGGCATATGCCAAATTGGCTAAGACTGCAAGGTGTCAGTCAGCACTTAAGGATTCAGATTGCTGGGTCATGCCTGTGACCTCTTTGAAAGTGTTTATCATGGAGCAGAGCCAATGATGCTATCCACCACAGTGATGCAAGACACATGTTAGACGTAATCCACCACCACACTGGTCCCAGGGATGCTCATTCTTTCCCCCTTCTAGCTGTACAGGAAATGATAGTGTGCCTTCTGAGCATTTTATTTTCATCTCTTAAGCAAGTTCACTTTCTGAGATAAAAGAGTGTTCTTTCACCCCAGGAATATAGCGTCTGTATTTATTAGTAACTCTTGGTGTGGAACATTTTAAAAGTGCTTTTTAAAGACTTTGTGGGATGCATCTGTGTGTTTTCCTTTATCTGCATGCCTATTTTCCACCTCAAAGCACTCTAATAAATTAGTAATTTCCACTTGTGAAGCCAAACTTCATTACCTACCTCCTTGTAGTGCTAGTGCTAGTTTTAAGCATGCAATGAAGAGCGCCAAGGCCTGGAGGGTATGACTTTGAATCTTTGACAAAGTTCACTTTTGAATAAGACTATAAATGAGGTCACCAGTAACAGAAGAAGAAGGAATCTGAGTGGGTCTCATTGCTGGGGGTGTGGTACATATTTTATTGCACCATGTTGATTTCAGTGCAAGAGTGATTAGGCCTCAATAATCAGAGGCACAAATCAGCACTCTCTCACTGTAAGTGGAGTGAGACTCAGGAGTTGTACTCTGGTGATTTCCTATCAGGTATGGCAGCCATACATTTTGGCCCCTCCCACTTTTTCTGTTTTCAATGACCTGAGAAAATACAGGGAAGGCTTTGCTTATGGGAGGAAAGTGATCTTGTTTCCTTCAGTTCCCTGAGGAGGTGAACAGGGACTATAAGGCTTAGCAACCGGATGTTCAGGAAAAGCAGCCTCACTCCCCGGATGGACACCTGAGGAAGTTTTATTTCCCATGATTCAGTTTCGAATATAGCATTCTTGGGTTCAAAGTGAGTCTTCCAGTGACAGCCACCCCTTGAAATGGGCTTTTCAGTAGCTCTGTTGTTTTAAAATCTTAATAACAGGCCCACAATAGGCATGCCATTCTTCTTAGAGTCATTTATTTTCTTCCTACAAACCCTCCCAGAGAGTAATGTAAAAGCTTCTATTCTTCAGCTAGAAAAGATGATGTCCTTTTCTCACAGAAAAAATCCCAAGCCTTTCTTTTTCATACCCCGCAACAGAAGTCTTCATACACAAATGGGACTGATTCTGAGTGACAATGTTTAGTGACAGTTTGACAAACAATGCAATGCTATCTTTCTCTTTTCCTTTTCCTGGAAATATGGGCATCACAGATGTTTTAAACTCACTCTGTCTTAGCCTTGATAGTGTTATCCAGAGCCTGAAAACATTTACTGCTGCTGAGTCTAAAATATTTAAAATATGGAGCTCTGTTGCAAACAGGGAATATTAAGAAGGAGGAAATGGCCGGGGAGGAGGGGCTGCAAAATGTTAAGCGGCTGCTGGTAAGTCAGTGTTAAGTATACAGATGGAAACACACAGGTGTGGTGCACAGCTTCTCAGAGAAGCATTTAGTCTGTCTGCATCCCTCCTGCCAGGAGGCAAAGCTGAGGGCCCACTTAGAGAGGTGAGCCCCTAAGACAGGGTCCAGGGGTTCCAGCTGCCTCCATCACCAGGCACAGTTTTCAACAAACAATTTCAATTTCTCTTCCTGAAGTCTAAATTGGATGCTGGAATTTCAGGTGGAGATAAGATTCAAGCGAGTTCAAAGGGAGTCTGCTCTTGTGTTATGCACAAGGAACCCCAGTGATTTGAATCAGTAACTCTGTGCAGAAAAGAGTCTTCCATGAACACTTACCATCAACTTAGTCTGTACAGAAACCTGTTTTCCATAGAATTTTAGTCAACAAATCCTTTACTTGTGGGAGTTCAGAGACTGCCTTGGTTGTATATCAGACTAGTTTCCTAAGCAAGCAATGGGCCATCAAGGGAAAGTTGGGGATGTGACTCCGTGTTAAAGAAACCCATTTGGGGACCATAGCAGTACCCAAAAGCTTCCTTACTGAATTCAGTTACCCTCTATTCCTTCAGAGTGATTGAGATAGCTATCATGCAGAAAAGAGCATTTTGCAAAAGACTCAATTGAGTATGACTACTAATATAACCATATTACAGGTCTTTTCACTTTAGAAACACTCTTCTCCTAGTAGAATGCCCAAGGAAGCAATCACTAAGGCATACCCTGATTTACCGTGCCAAAATGATACAGGATGAACATGTCCTTTCTTCCTCATTTAATCCACAAGGTGACTGGATTTGTGGCTTAAGGACCTTATTTGTAAGAGGTCTCAAGGGCAGTACTCTATAAATCACCAGAGGAAGGAATGAAGCAGCCCTAGGTACAATGTGTGTGTTCTATCCCTACAAGGTCTTCCTTCATTGACAAGCATTATCTTATAAAGAGAGATCATTTTAAAAGGATGCTGAATAAACATGAATTGATAATTATCTAATATCTTCAGGGAGTCTTCAATGATTACCACTCAACACCTACCCTAAAAACTCCATAGACACAATGTATTCTTGTGTTATTTATGGCAGATATAGGATACCCAGTGTCAGTGGCATGGTGGAAAAATATTTCTTATTGAACTAATCTCATGCAAACAGGCTGCCTTTATTATGCTTTGCTTCAACAGTGCTGTGAAGTACAATGAGCAGATCTGAGAATATCAGATAGAATCTCCAAGGAAAAGTTTTTCAGAAGTTTGGCATGAACTGGATTGAAGGTATTGGCATTAATTCAGCAAAATATTGAAAAACATTCGATACTTTATTACATATCCATGATATAAAACCACTAAGAGATTTTAGATCCAACTGAAGAAAGAAAATGAAAATAATTCTCCTAGGAACCATAGATAAAATTTTTGATGAAGTACATGGAGGATTCAGAAAGAGGCCATGCCATTTGTACATCAGGAAACTGATTCTAGGAGTGAGGTCTAGCCGGCTTATACTGTATATATGGCTTGGAATCCTGAGAAGGTGTGAACTTATGGGTAATGTTACTAGTGAGTGAAGTAGCCAAGTTAAAGACAAGGTCAGTGTTCAAGGAGCAGAATCTAAAGCCCATGTTTTATAGAAAACAGGAGGACATGTAAAA